AAGGGCAGGGGCATGACCCACCCCCCTCACATGCTTCTATGGGCTGCGGAAAGATCTGGTGGGCAGGCTGGAAAGAGGACAAAAAGAATAAGGGCTGCCCAGCACCGGACAGGCTCTTGCCTGAGCCCATTTTAAAGAGAGGCCATTTAATCCATGAACACTGAATACAACTCATCGGTGGCATTAGAAATATTGCGATGTGAAGACCTACAATGCAAGGCAAGCACGGGGCAGATGAGCTAGCAGAGATGGGCCAGGCCACTCCATTCACATTATTTCTCAATTTTGTCTTCCGAGCTCGGGGCATGCTTAGGTAACTTTCAAAGCCATTCACTTTTCAAAAACAAAAATCAGCCAACAAAGCTGCACCAACCCAGTGCACTTTGGGACAGACCTATGTGGGTAGTGCATAGTGCTGTACTGGAGCCCGCGGTTTGTCTGGGACTGGAGAGGAAAAGGACAGGAGCTCACTTTCACACCTCTGTAATCAGCTCACACTGGCAAGCCAGCAACTCTAGGATACAGACTGGGAACCCCACCAAACCCCCTTATTGGCTGGGGGAAGTAGGGACGCAGAAGCACTGGTCTTTTGAGGACAAAAAGAGGGAGGACTGAGGAATCTGTGCTATGGTTGCCTTAAAGATACGAGAATTATAACCAAAGGTGGCTCTCGTTTTAGGGCTAGAAAGAGCTGTTCACTAAAGCCCGCTCTTCTCAGCCCATCTTGAAGGACCACTTTTCCCCCTGACTTCAGATCTCTGTTTCAAGTGCTATCACAAAAACCAATGAATTAAAGTCCGTTCCAGCCACCAGTGGTGTCAACCAAAATACACAGCCAGAAATAAGCAATCCTAGTCTGGGACATCTAACTGATAATCATAAAACATCGCCTTCAGCTCTGGGTCCAGGGAAATCCAGATTAGCAAAGTCAAAGTCAGGGCTATAGACCAAAGGATAAATAGCCAAGTACAGTCTCCCTAAAACTAAGGGTGGCAGGAGAACCCTAACAACAGGAGTGGTTAGGGAAGTGAAGAACAATGTAAAGTCAGACCAACACAGGAATTTTCCCAAGGTGCACGACGGTATTGCTTTAAAAAAAAAAAAAGTCAGCACAGCCTGGCAATAACGAGGCTTGATTCTATGGAGTGTGCTGCGAGAACAAGGAAATGGAAGGGAGATAATTACCAGTACATTTGAAAGGGTGAAGATTAGACTCACCCCAAGTGGAAATGTGGAGATTCTGATGGGGTACTTAAACCATTAGCTTTCTCACGTCTCTGAGGGGATCTTCAATGAATAAAGACAATCAGAAGCTGGCAGCAGCGGGTACATCAGCTCAGCCTCTCCCACATGAGAACCCTCAAGGCTGGACTCCAGCTATGTCGCCAGCAGCCATCCCCTTGTCCAGTCAGAAAAGCCCACACCATGAAAGAATCTTAACAAGATGGTTCTGCTTGAGTTGTTACAGGCCAGGACCTCCCAATCCGTGGGACAAAGGTCCCTGGGCAACCCCACCATAATTACAGGGCATCTGTAAACCCATAGATACTCAAGCTGTCTACAGATAAGTGCATATGTTTCCTATAGATGTGCACTATTTTTTAAAAGTATGGAGATGCAAATTCACTTAACATTACTAAATTCAATATAGCTGTTTTGCCATTATATATTTTCTTCAGTCAACAGGGGCTAAATTTACAAATATTATACATAGAGGATCTCAAAATTTCTGACATTAAAAAGGTCTGAGTGGAGTATATATTTTTTCAATAGGAATTCAAAATCATGAAAAATGAAGTCACATAACTTGAATTGATCCAAAAGTTTTGAGGGTAAATCTATGTAAGGAGGAAAAAAATTCCAAAGTTAATAATTTGTATTGCAAAATAATTAATTTACTAGCAAGAGAAAAAAATACCTTTAAATGAAGCAGAACTATAGAAACTACTGGAATCCATAGCCAACCTGGTAAATCCTATCTGGAATCACACTGTCAGAAATATCACAGGATTCAGTTCAATACCACAGGCGACAGTTTCTCAGCCTCGGCTCAATACTACTCTAGCCTAGGGCTAAAAGGACAAACTGAGGGGCTCTTGCTCCTGTAGAACTTGGTACGGCAGAGCAATCTGCCATCCCCAGAGGGTTCAATCACTGAATTCCTACATGGCTTAGGTAGTTTGCCCTACATATTTAAATTTTTTATTCTAAGGTATCTAGTGGTTTCCAAAACCTGGCTCCAAATAGTCAATATTTTATGAAGCAAACTGTTTTTCTACCTTTGGCTCAGATCCGACATAGGGAAACAGATTTTGGACATGAAATTTTAGTATTCGGAGGAATACCAAGGCCAGTTACAGGTTCAGGGCACCTATAATTCTAATGTCTAAGTTTAGAAGCTCTTTGGAAATGAACGTAAAAGGTGAAGGGGGTTGCTGCTTATACTCACATTAGGAAAAGTCAAGAAACATGGTTCTAGATTCTAAAACCAAGAAGAAGAAGTATAAACCATTATGTTCATTCTTCAGGTATGAAACAGAATTGCATGAGAAGCATAAAAGAATCACAGCAAATATTTACACATGCTTACTATGAGCCAGCTAATCTTCTCTGCACTTTACAAAGATGAACTTATTTAATCCTCCATCAACTCCATGAGATGGGTATGGACATAACCCCTATTTTACAGATGAGAAAGCATAAGGCGGAGCCAGGATTTGTACCTGGGCAGTCCGGGGTCAGCGTCCAAGCTCTTTAATACCACATGGTCCTCTGAAGGACTAGGACTCAGTCGAATTTGTCTCTTAGGCCATAAGTCCACAGCAAGAACAGAGGGGGCACTCATACATATCAGCGTGGCTACGGGGTGGGACCCAAAATAAGTTCTAGTGGCCCTAGAGTTATATCCAACTGTTCTACTAGAGCTAGATTATTCTGTCTGCCCCTGCTTCAGATGAGCCTCCAGTCAAGAGTCCCATAATCTGCTCTTCCTTTTCTTTCCTCTGAGCTGACGTTTTAAGGGGAAGAGCTAGGTATAAGTAGACTACGCATGCAGAACTCTGTACATCTGGTCAATGCTTGGGGCACCTGCTACTCTGAGTAGGGCTTCTCCAGAGGTCGGAAAACTCTAACTTGTGGGGCTAAATCCTGACCACTACCTGTTTTTATAAAAAGTTTTACTGGGACACAGCCATGCTCATTCATTTACGTCATCTGTCCACAGTCTGTGGCTGCTGCTGCCCTCTCACAGTGGAGGTGAGTAGTTACAACAGACACCACATGGCTCACAAAGCCTAAAATATATATTATCTGGCCCTTTATGAAAAAAGTACGCCAATCTCTGTCCTAAGAGGTTCCAAGGGGAAAAGGAGATTGGATAACTCTGTTGTAAAGATCAAGAAACTCATAATTTCTCAGAAAGAAGTGAAACACACAACAAAGAAAAAGATATTCACATCATGGTTTTAAAAGGGTACAGAAGTCTATAAGTGAGAAAGAATTTCCCATGATCGGGCTCTTACCCTTCGTCTCCTGAGGCAAGCTCCTTCTGACCAAGCGTACCTGGCCCCCAAGTCCGTCCCTTCTTCTTGGGAGCCCTCTTCTCCTCCTCCTCCCCTTCCTCCTTCGGGATGACTGAGCTCCGGCCCCAGGTTTTGCTGCTTTCGTTTGGTGTCACTGTGAATAACAAAAGTTGGATGGGATCTGGAAACAGACATACAGGGCTCCTCCGAAACTAGACTCTACCCAACCAAACACCACACACACACACACACACACACACACACACACACAGCTCCTGGGAAGAAGTCAGACTTCTTTAACACTTTTGTGCCCAAGTGGAAGCTTCCAGGAAAATAACGGAGTTCTCAGCCACCAACCATTTAGCACTCTCGAAGTACCAAACATGGAAATGTTTCCCAGCTTCTCATAAGTCCAATGTAAAGGTGGAGCTCAGGCCAGCCAGACATCAGAGTCCCAGATAGGTCTGACTTAAGAAACTTGTTTTGTTGGGTGGAACTGAATTGGGATGAGTGAGTGATGAGGTAGGTGGGAGAGAAAAATGATAAGGGGTAAGGAAGATGTGGAATTACCGAAATTTGGTAAGTAAGTACCGGAAAGAAAGAAAATGAGGATTTCAAGACTGAAGACTAGAGAAAAAAATTCAGGAGTAGGAGGATGGGGAAAGAATAGAGCTAGACCATGTAGGAGATAAGAGGGGGGGGAATGTTCTTCTGAAATTGGCACCTTAAGCAAGAGCTGAAACTCCAAATGCTTCAGAGACTTGGCTTATACCATAAATGAGTGAAGTGAGCCAGTTACCAAAAAATAAGGAGTTGAGGGGACTGAGGCGAAATACAGGGCATGTGGAAGCTGCCGTGAGTTCCGGCCAGCTGTGGCTACACGCAGAGGGGAACCCACCGATTTGATTATAAGGAAAGCAAGAAATCTATGTTTTGGTTTTTTTTATTTATGAACTCTATCTTAAAGTAGGGAAACTAATTCATTCACACACACACACATGTGTGTATGTACATGTATGTGTTTGCATATGTATAAATCTCGTTTAATAAACACTGCTGTAAAAATAAAATTGGTCCAGATGTTGCCTGTCATAAAATATTTGGCAAGTTTTCTTAAGACCTATACTTTGAAAACACCCTTCCCTGATTAGTATGAACAAAAGAGAAACAAAGATGCCCCAAATACGGCAGAGCACACAAGGTACCAGGTTACGATACCGACCTATCTACATCGCACGCCCGTTTCCAAATTGCTTTGGACCATAATACCCACAAACCCCTTCACTGGTATCTGACTAAGAGTAAAAGGCAAAGGAGGCAGCAGAAAAGCTAATGGAGGAAGACAAGAGGGAGGGCTAAGGTTTGCGTACATATGTGCATGTATATACACATTGTCGAGGAGAAGTGGCAGAAGTTATGGATGGAGCAAGCCTGGACCAGTCGGTGGCTGGACAGAGCAGGGGACAGGTGCCCCTTGTGTGTTCTGGCCCCAACTAATTTGGGAAGCAGTCTCACACTGGATGGCTCGAAGGCGAGGAATGATGGTGGGGCTTGCAGGAGGACTGGAGCGGCTGTTGATGAGACTCTTCCTTTTATCCATGGTGGGAGAGGCCTGTACGGTGAACTTGTGCTGGAAATCTGCTTGAGGGAAAGACAAACACATGCGTGTGCATTAGAATTTTTCCATAATCAAATTCCTATGAGAAAACTGACATTTCCTGGCAGGCTTGAGGGACAGGCCTTGGTTTCCTGAGAAGCTCCTTCTTCACTTGGGCAACGTTCTCTTTTAGAATCACCTCATTTTCCCAAAAGACGGCAGGATGGCAAGATGAATGCACAAGGAGAAGGAAAATTCCTTATCCAAGGAAATGTCATTAGACAGTTTTCATAAAGCTATCTATATAATGTATACAGGTGTAGCAATTGCATATTTAGAAGAGTCATGAGAGTTCTTGATTACTGTAGGAAATCTAATTTAAAGTTTTATTTCATGTAACCTATTAGTACAAGCCCCCTGTTCTCGGGACCAAAGCAGGCAAACTAATGCTTATCACACTGAGTGCAAGCAAAGCAGGGTAATAGGAACTAATCCTTGGTGGGAACCTAGGGAAGGGAGGGGCATAGAGCTAATGGTCCAAATTCTGAGGTATTCCAAAGGCAGTTATGGCATAGCATAATAGATGTAAAACTTACAGCTCTGAATTTCTGAATGTCAGTCTCCTCATCTATCAAAGAGGTATAATAATTACAGCTGCATGTTCACATTTAGGTCTCCCCACTGTCTGCCATCTCCCTGAAGGTGAGAACTATCGCTTTTCTATCTGCTTCCCCTGAACGCAGCAGTATGCTGGCACATGCTAGATGCTCAAGAGGCACTTAAAGACTCTGTGTTGCCTGAAAAGAAAAAAAAAATGTGCAACAAAGAAGCCAGTAAACATATCCCCTGAACACATTCACTGACTTTCACTAAATGAATTCCTTTGTCTGTACTTAAGCCACTCTCCTAGTACTTAAAATCATTCATTACTGCTCCTATTGTATCATTTTTCCTTGGTTCCTTTCACTTCCAATAAGCTTGTGTCCTGGGTCTTATGGACTCAGAATACAGTGAACTTTTTAATCTATGTTAACACACACTTTAGCACTTACTTCCTCTGTAGTTACACTGCACACCACAAGATTCTAATTCATCGTTTCATATTTCTTTGAATTTTCCCAAGGCTGTACATACTACAAATGTACTTGTATTCAGCCAATGTGTTTCTGAAAAGGTACGTGTAAATCAAATTCTTATACATTAATCCTAATCTCAACTGCAGAGAACTAATTATTTAAAGAAACTTGAGATGAGTTATTTTACAGAGACAAGAATTCAGTTTTCTGTCTCACACATACACACCCTGGAATTTGTTTCCTCCAATTACATGCTTCCTTCTCCAAGTATGTCTAAAGTGAGATGTGCCCATGGGAGCGACCATGCTTCTAGCAGCCTGTACTGTGCTTGCCTGTCAGGTCCATTGCCAGGCTGTCTTCCCTTCATACTCTGTGTTTAATCACATTCAAAAATTCCCCTGGAGTGGGGTAGCTTTTTGGTAGGCCAGTCTTTCACACACTGAATAGAATGACCCATTCCAAACCGGCTCTATTTTTAGACCCGGGGTCTCATGTTTCCAAGGCCAGTCCCCAGCTCCCATTCATCCCCAGGCACACCAGCCCCTTGCCCCGGTCCCACTTCCCAGCAGGTCCCTGGCCACTGACCAGAAGGGAGGCTGATGCGGTTTCCATCCTTGAGCTTCAGTCGGTTCTTCCTGAACTTGCCCTTGCGTTTCTTCACCCGGGGCTTCTCCTGGCACAGCTGGTGGATGATGATGTTGAGCTCTCGTTCCAGGATGTCAATCTCCCGCTCGGCCAGCTCCTGCTCTCGGCGCCGCAGCAGCTCCTCCTGGTTCTTCTGCTGGAGCGCAGCCCGCGTCAGCTCCTCCTCCCAGGTGCGGAGCTCCTGCGGGGTGGGTAGAACCATTAGAGAGGAGAGTGAGGGGCTCGGTGCAGAGGCATGAGGCCCAGGAGCCCCAGAGGGCTAGTGCTCACAGCCCTCTGGAGAGTGCTCCTAGAATGCCCTATACTTCAAGTGTCCGGCAGAGGTGGGGGCGCTCAACAGTTAGCTGGTAAATGAATATCTGGCCACCTGAATGGCGGGGAAAGGAAATCTCAGAAGAGCCATACTGAAGAAATAGCTAGAATAGCCACAGGCCAACCCTGGAGACAGGCTCATAGTTCCCAGATGCTCCTTGATTATTGATTAAAGTTGCCTGTGACTGAGGAAAAAAGAAATGGGGCTTTGGGTAGAAAACATATGTATTTAAATTTTATAGACTTGGTTCTATTTTAATTTTTTTGCATCACATAAAAGATTTTTTTAAAAACCAGAGCCAACTTAATGTGATCTAGCTTAAAATGTGCCCTCTGTAAATGAATCACCCTCCTGCATCACCTAATGTTCCAAGAAAAATAAATATATTTCCAGGGTGGCTGTTCAAAAAGGTATGGAAAGCATCCTCACTTAATGAGTGAGTGTACAGAGACATGTGGTTTGAACTCTCATCTTATCTTAAAGGACAACCATTTACTCTGGAAGGATCAGGATAGCACAGCAAAGAGGAGAGAAAACATTTTCTAAAGTCTTTGTCAGGCACTTGCTCTAGAACCACTGCCATGTTATGTGGGCAGAACCTCTTCCCTGTCTCCTCTTTCCTTATGCATGAATTTATAAATGAACCTGGCATGAAGTCCCTGGGAAGAGGATGGGATATAGAATCAGGAGATAGGAGAGAAAACAGGAAAGAGAACAAGAAACGTGTATAAAATTTTAAAATCTGGAATCTAAACTGTTAACACTGGTTACCCCAGGCCTAGAATTAAAATGTGTGTGGGGAATGGGGGGCGGGCAAGGGAAGGTTTCATATCAATAACCTGAGGAAACCACATCTAAAAAGTGGGGCACTTCTTTAATGAGGAAGCCAGGACAACACTTCTGTGGCTGAAACTTAAATTTCTCAATGGAATGTTCCACTAGAAGTCAAAATATAGTAGAGAAGGAACCTAGAGCTATAAAAAAAAGTATATGAAGACATAGTGGGGAAGCTGAGCAGCAGGCAGAGAGCAGAAGAGAAAGCAGAGACAAGATAGAACAAAATATTCTGATATTAGGAGCTTTTCATTTGAGTTGTCCTCCATTCCCAAGAGAATATCAAAATAACCATAAAGGTGATAGAAAGGAGAGAAATTGAGAAAAAGATTACACCTGGAAAATTGTCCAGTACATGATTGATGCTCAGTTGCTGATAAATAACCAGAATCAATGAACGAGTGACTGAGAAAGAAGAAAAAGAAGATAGAAGACAATTTCATAAATGCAATCCTCCTTTATGGGAACATAGATTCATCTTAAGTATCTGTGAGACGAGCTTGAACTTTTGAGCTTCTCCTTTGATGAAATAAGCCCCAAACAGATTAACTGTACACCCTCCAAATCTTTGGTTCACTATAAAACAGAGAACAAAAACACAAGGAAGATTAAGAAAAGTTATTCCTGGTTGGTTGATTTTGTTGCTAAATGGGAAAGTTGAAAGGTTGAAGCTAATTTCAGACTTCTTGAATCCTCGTTCCTACATGCTGTTGTCTAAGGGATGGTTTGGGTCTAGGGCCCTTCCTTTAAGGGAACTCGAACCCCAGGGACCAATTTATCATCATAATACCTGGAAGCAGTAGGTTGAGCCAATCTGAAGAATGAGCTGAATCATATGAGAAATGAGAACATTTATGGAATACGCACCTATGGTACCACATACCTGGAAGACCCTCAAATTTGGTAAATCTCCTTATTGTGAAACACCTATTTGGAGATCAGCTTCCTAGTATGCAAATCACATCTCCCACATACAATGATTTAAGGGGAAATCTCTCAAGAGAGAAAGCTCATTATTCATCTTACCCACGCTTGCCCACCTACGAGCCTTACAATGGAGAGGCATCACAGCATGGCAGATAAGAGCAAGTACTCCAGAACAAACTGTATAAACTTTGGCCTTGGGAAACAATATGGTTATCATATGTGATATGGAGTTAACAGCACCAACATCACAGGATTGCATTATATAATACAACTATCTTATTATGTAAAATTATGTAAGAATGCATATATATTACTTATAACAGAGCCCGACACACAGTATGTGCTCTACAAATGTTAGCTATTATGAGCATGGGTTTGACTTTTCCTAGTAACTACTTGCTGACAAAATCCGACTTTTATTTTTCTTACTGGCTGGTACCCTTATAATTTCACCAATCAAAAGAAATAACTGAGTCAGTGATTCAGCAATCTAAAAAAAGGCTGGCAACTCTGGGGTTCTTCTGGTTGGAACAGCATTAGTAATAGAACGGTCTCTTTTAATTAGCTCAATGGTCAGTGTGGGTTCACCAGCTCCCCTGCCCCAGATCCCTAAAGATTCATCATAAGCTCCCTCCATTTGCTTGCAGAACGCTCACTGACTTGCCAAACAGTACCAGTTTAGAATTGCTATGTTGCATAAAAAGAGTTTAATCCCTTCAAATAAGCTCCAGAAATAATTTTTAAGTCATTTGTTTAGGGAAACAACAATGATTTTGGAAAGAAGATGGTTTTGGAATCAAAAGATCTAGCTTCAAGATTCTGTTTCCCCACTTACTAGACAAGTCACTGACCTTCAGCTCTGAGATGAAAAAGATAACACCTGCCCTATGCACTGGCGGAAGGGGCTGTGAGACTTCTGGATAAGGACAAAAGGGTCTCATCAGACCTTTCAAGTGAAAGAGCTGGAAAGCCATAAAGACAGATATAATTTTAGCTACTATTATTATCATATTGCTTCCCAAATTCCAATGGTGGGGAGTGAGAAGGGAAAAAGAAATTAACCGAGTCTATATGTGGACAGCCCTTCTGCCATAGCTGTGGCCCTTAGACTTTAGTCCTTCCCCTGCCTCTCGCCCAGTATAAGCAACACAGCTGCTTTGATCAGCAGTATGAATACTGACTACTAGCTGGACAGCCAGGGTATAGAGAGGGGCCATTTAGGGAATGGCCACCAAAACAAAAGGTGGCTCTCTAGTAGGCTAAGTGTCTCTGATCCCTGAGTTGGTTTGGGCCTCAGCCCTTTTCATAAAAACATGAAAAATAAACAATTTCAGACCCATGGTATTTTTGGTCCATCTGCTGTTTCTGATTGTGATACTAAGACACTAGCAAGATGTTCGGATAACTGTTCTCAATGTTTAAGCATCCCTATATCAAGTTAACCCCCCTAGAAGTCCATTGCAAAACCCTCTTCTATTTTCAGCCATCAGGGTGAGTCACCCCACTGGTACTTGCCCAATGGTGCTCTTTCTCTGGTTTGAACAATAAAGTAGATACCCTCAAGGAGAGCTTTGGATTCAAGACTCCTCCTCCTTAATCCTGACATATCCCCAAAAGAAAGAAAAAGTCTATACCATTTCAGGTCACACCTGAGGCCTGGAGAATTGTCTCCATGTAAAGCCACGAAAGAAATACCTTCCCTGTTATTGCAAATCAAGCCGGAAGGTGGTCTTGTCAGGATCTGTCCACAGAGAAAGTTCACTGATTCAAAAATTGCATGCCTTCTTTTCCTTGCATGCTTTTTCTTTTCCTTCTTACCTTTTCTTTGGCCCTGAGTTGGTCAAACATCTCCTGAATCTCATGTTTCCAGTCATCCTGCAGGCAGTGGAAGGAGTCCTTAGGCATTTCAAAGAAACCAGACTCCTCTATGGTAGTTAGCTGGTCCAGGATATTCGTAAAGGATGGTCGTGAATGGGGGTCAGGATTCCAGCAATCTTCATGGAATAGGTGAGCAGACAAAAAGTATGAACAAACAGAGGCAAGTGTCAGACTAAGGATATTATGTGACCTCACTTACCAGAAAACTACCTTCCATTTCTCCTTCCAGAAACGAGATGGGGATTTAGATAACCATAAATAGGGCTCAGGAAGTAAAGCGAGCTGCACAACATCACAATCATCGAGGCTGAATTCGGAAATAAAACGTAGCCATTCTGCACCTATCTGATTCTGACTGCTGAGCTAGCATCAGAAAATCAAGCCCAAAGAGTTCCCTTGTGTGAAGCACAACTACCACAATTTGCCATGTTACTCATGATTCCAGTCCTCACGATGGAGAACTCTACTTGGGCCTCAATTTATCCATAAATAAATGAGCTATCCTTCCCCGCTGCAGTGAGAGGCAAGGATAAAAAGTGCAGAAGTGAGAGTCAGGAAAAGTGAATTCCTTCCACTCCCAGCTCAGATACAACTAATAGTGTGGCCACGTATCTGCCTAACCTCTCAGCTTTGGATTTCTCACTTACGAAAGTATAGTATTTGACTGGATGACTTTAAGGGTTGCTTTCTTCGCAGATACTCTTTGTTTCTATATGTAAGATACTCATATGTCCTGAAATAAAAGCTGCTATACATTCTTCTTTTGTATTAAATAATATACTGAAGTACTAGATAGCAAGCTTTAGTCACTAAATTCTAGAGTCACTAGAGATGGACAGAGGGACATCCGTGATATTAATGCAGCAGGGTGCTGACGTCATTTTGAAGTAGGTCTTCCAACTGCCCACAGGAGTCCCCCTTGAGTGACTAACCCTTCATGTCCTCTTTTGGTAGCTGATCCTGCAGAATGGGCCAAAAATCTATCAAATGCTGATAGGAAGGTAAACTGTCGCAGTTTTGTTCCTACCAGGGATCACTTACCTTCCATGAGTTTGGCAAAAGGTTCCGGGCACGTAGAAGGGATGGGAAGGGCGAGCTTGTTCATGGCCACTCCGTAAGCGACTGCTAAGCCATCGATTCCTCGGAAGGGCACCTCCCCAGTCAGTAGCTCCCAAAGCAGCACCCCATAGCTAAGGAGAGGAAGAAGACAGAAGCCATGTAATAAACCACAGGTGCAACTTCATTGAAATAGCTCATACGGCCTTGCCGAGCATCCCACATTCTTTCCAGCATGTAGGGAGACTCACAAAATAGATATACTAATGTAATATAAAAAGGAGACCCTCAGGCCTTCTGGCTGAAAGCAAAAACTCTGGAGTCAGGCACACTTGGTTCCAAAGCCTTGTTTCTCAAATTCCTCATCTGTAAAGGGTAAATAACACTAGCAGTCTCACAGGCTGTCATGAAATTAAATGAGCTCCTCTCGTGTTTCAATCAGTGCTCAAGGACCACAGCTCTTTTGTTGGCATTGTTGTTAATATAACGAACTGGGAGAAGAGGCAGCCTCCCAAGAATGCATTCTTTCTGTTTTAAGAAAACTTCAGCTTTAGTCACAAACGCATTTTTTTTTTTAGATTGAGAAAAGCAGAGAGCTGACCACCCAAAACAAACAGATTTTTCTCCTGTAAAAGATTTCGTTAATGGCCACTAGTTTGAAGAGATTTCTGCCTCCATTAGTGTGAGTGAGCTCTTAACAGATGTTTGTTTAATTCAAAGGGGAAAGTTTCACAAGGGTGACCCGCATCAGTGGGGCAGAGCACAGCGTCAGCTGTGAGGATTTCAGAGTTCCCTTCCTACCTTTCAAGTCCACATGAAGAATTTCTTTTCATATGTCCTGTGAGTCAGAGGATGAGGAGCGCAAGGCTTAGTGGAATAATTATTCTACAAATTCACAATCAGAACTAGGCAAAATCATGCAGTGTTCAATCCTTCCAGGAATAAGTAAGGACAAGAAACCATAAGGCCATGAACAGTTAGAAGAGAGGCTCTCCTTATATTTTCAAAACCTCAAAAATTTTAATACTCGTCAGTAGTTTACAACCCCCCAAAAAGTCATATTCGTTTTTAAAGTATATGAATAAAACCAGTATCTATTTTATCATGGCATGTTGTATGTGCAGGGTACTAACCCATTTATGAACATCATATTGAATCCCTACAACAAACCGCCAAGATAAGTTTTATCATTTTGCAGATGAGGAAAGCAAGTTTCAGACAGCAGCATAATTAAGGGCAGGTATACACGGAATAAGTCATAGTAGACCCTGGACCAACTCTCAATTCTTTCTCTCTAGAATGCCTTTCTACCATTTCTCTGCTTGGTAAACTCTGATCATCTTCCAATTCACGAGCACCACCATTTATTCATTAATTTTAAACATCTACTAAATATTTACTATGCATCAAGCTCAATGCTCAGCACTGGGATAAAGGATAAGACACAAATTTTATATAGGAAAAACATATAGGAGGAATAGGAAAAACATCAATTAGCATACAGAGAAATGAGTCATAACAGAGATACTATGAGGAAACAAAAGAGAGTCACCTAAACTAGACCAGGATCAGGGCAGGAAACTGCTAAACTTGAGCTAAACCTTGACTGCTGAGTGAAGGAAGAGCCAGTGCTCCAGAGACAGCGAACAGCATGTACAAGGGCATGAACTTGCCCTCAGAGAAGCCCAAGTGGCCAGGTATGGCTCCACAGAGCAGCAATGTGCCAACCAATGTTCAAGGGCATCCTGGGACCTCCTACAGATGGCCCCTCCGAGTGGCATGGCCAGTTTCTGTGGACAATGTTTTTACCCCAGTGACCTCTCCAAATTCTATCGTTTTCTTTATGTATCTTAACAAGAAAAAGCCTGGTAGACAGTTGCTAAGTCTTCTCTTGTCTAGACAAGGAGCTGGCTTTTAGACTGAGGCTCATGGGAACAACTGGACACTTTAGGAAGCCTTCCCTAAAGAGGGCTCTTAGAGGGCAGGGATAGCTTTTAATCTGCATTCTCAGGGACTTGCCCAGGCTCTGGTACACAGTAGACACTTACATAGCGACTGAGTTGGTAGTCCTGCAGACTTCACTGGGGGTACCCTGGAGTAAGCTCTGAATACCACCAAGAATTGCACTATTATACTTCCTGCCAAACCTTTAACGTGATTCAGCTAGACAGTGGTCATGCTGACTACCTTCTACCAAGTGGCCTCTAAGAACTCTCAGCACTGCTAACTAGATTCCTAGGTTGGAGCGACTTCCACCTTCAGTTGTCTGCTCTTGGCGCTACTGCTCACCTCCACCCTAAGGAACAAAAACCCAAGGTCCCAAAGAACTCCTTTCTCTCATCCAGGCAAGACGATGGTGTCTGAACCCTAGGCATCCGGAAAGACAGTAGAGTGTTTTAAAGATCCAAGCATGTGTCCTGTCTGTCCTTGTATCCCCTCTATGACAGTTTCCATGTGGAGCCCTAGGTGACCCATGGAGATGTTTCAGGCCACCTGGAAGAGGGAGGAGCCAGGGACTCTACCCCTCCCAGCTTCAATAAGAGCTCTGCTCATACCTGACTTGTTTCTTTGTTCACCGGCATTCCATTCCATCTGAAGGGCTCAACGACTAAGTGAAATGGGAGACCTGCTGCTCAAGGGTGGTGGGGGGTGGGGTGTGTGTGGGTGGGCACTGTTGCCCAAGAAAGATTTAGACAGACTTGAGTCAAATGCCTGCTTTACTACGTACCAGCCATGTGACCTTGGGCAAGCAAGTTCACTTCCCAAACCTCAGTTTCCTCCTCTTTACAACAAAGACACCCATACCTATACCTCACAGAATAGTTTCGAGAAATGAATAACTACTTGTGACCCCGAAATTACCATCTATGGCTAGTAAACACTGAATTTCCCCTGGGAAAGGACCTGAAATGATGAAGTGTCTGGTGAGAGTTATGGAGAGCCTGCCTTGTCTGGTGGGAGCCCTCCCAGGGGACACCAGCATGCAGGGAAGAAGCCTTTCCGGGGACGACACAACCAAAGTTTTCCTCTGCCGATGTCCCTCTTTATTTTTCTAACAGAAAGTGACGCATAGAAAGTGTTGGAATTCCTTTTGCACTAGCCCAAGAAGAGAACCGGAGAAATACACATTAGATAGGGTCTGAGTCCCAGGGAGAGGCAGGCAGAAGCCCACAGATTTACTTTAGGTTTAGCCCAATCTGTTGCCCTTTCAGGATTGAGAGAAAAGGTCAAGAGGTCCTTTCAAGACCATTTACAAGCAGCCTGGAAAAACCAGCTCAGCGAAAAACGCTACCTGGGAGACCCTCCCCCACTGAGAACCACCAGCTCCCACAGTGCCGCCAGTGATTTGCCTGAACCCTCGGGGAACTCACCCTGTGTCCATAATTAGCCACCCTCAGAGGTGTGGTAATCCTTTCCACCATTTGGTAGGGTCATAAGTGTTTTTTTCTTTTCAAAGTAAAGAAAAGCATCAGAAAGGATAGCAAAACTTACCAACCAAAAGCACGGTAATTCCGCACCTGTGCTGGACCAGGACTAACCTACATTGTCTCTAAGACTGTCAATTCAAGGGTCCACACTTTGAAAGGAGAGGGAGTCTCTTGAATGGGCTCTTGCACTTGGTAATCAGCTGTGACCTCAAAGACAATTGAACTACCATGTGTGAAAACACTTTCTAAACTGTAATGTAACATACAATTCTTCTTCATCTTGTTAACTTGACCCTCATTCAAAATGATAACATTTATTAACACATATATGTAATATATACATTAACGTATTTATTGGCATAATAAATACTTATTAATGTGGTAATATTCTCATGCTATATTAAAAAAGTAGCTTAGAAAACAGAATGGTCTCATTTTAAGGGATGGGTGGACAAGCATGTGAATAGGGATAAACATACCAAAATATGTAGGTTATCTTTAGAAGGTTGTGGGTGATTTTCTATTTTTTTGTTTATCCACATTTTCTAATTTTTTTTTCTATAGTGAACATGCTTTACTACTGTAATTTTTCAAACTTAAAATGATCAATAAAACGCCTTCATTTCATCCCACACACAATAGGCAAATGAGATAAAAGATGTACAGCATTCAGCATAGATCCTAGCCTATAAGCATTTGTATGCAGTAAATCTGTCACCACTGTACGTGTATTGTACATATGGCAATGGACACATGTTTTCCTCTGGTAAAGGTGCAAGATCATTTGGAGCCACTTAGATGAGTAGGCTTGAGGAGGGAGGAATTAAAGGCCCATTTAATGGGTGCAATAGATTGTGTCCTAGAAAGCAATGCCACAGGATGGAAGCTAAGAAACTTGGAAGGAAACAGGGTGATTTATCTTTTCAAATGACATTCCTCAACCAAGCTGAGTCAGGAGGCTTAGGTCCCGGGAACAATTTTAAAATAGAGACCCACCAGCAGAGCGGACCATGTGACAAATTCCAAGATGCTATTGATTTGGACTTTACCTCCAAGCGAGTCCCTTCAGATAGTAGAATAACCTCATCAGATGCCTCTCACCAGAGGCTCCTCAAGCCTCCTTTCAGGATCTGTGGTTGAAGGGCAAGACCTGAAGCTTAGTCTTGGAACAAAGACACTTTGGGTAAAAGTCGAAAGGTCCTACCTTGTTCCTTCCATGATGGACAAAGCCCTGCAATAGCCTTGCCCTTCCTTGCCTACCATTTCTATCACTATGAAATGATCGTACACAAGGCATTTGAGTTTTCCCTTCTCACTAAGACTGTACCTTGATACTGCAGGCAACTCTGCCCAAATCACTGTAGTAAACAGAAATCTTTGGAGTGTGTGACAATAAAACCTGAATGACTTCAGGGCCAGGCTGAGAGAAGAGGCTACCAGGAATATAAAAAGTAGAAAACAATCGTGTTACTGAGAAGTCGTGATTTCCCATGAAGAAAGCGAAGATAAAGTTGAGTGTGACAAGTGGTTGACTGGCCCCCAAATCCATTCTCTTCTTCCATAGTAAGAGTTTCAGCTGGGCATACAGTTTTCCAGCTACAGCCTACATTTGTCTGCCTCCCTCGGAGCCAGGTGTGCCTACATAACCTACCGCAAACAATGGGGTGTGCACAGAGACGTGCACAACTTCTGGGCTGTCTCCAAATTAAAGGCAAACTGCTGGCCA